GGACTGTATTCGTAAGTTGAGTAAAATGTTGAAAACGGTTTGAAAACCAGTTGCTTCTTCATTTTAGATCATGAATACTCATTTACAGCATGTTCGCCAGCGTCTTCAAATGGTAGAATTGGATCGTTCATGGAATTTGAGTGGTTATGAGATAGACGGTTTGGAATTAATCCTCATTTCAGTTTAGATGCAGGGTTGTTCGACCTCGGCCAGAAGATACATAGAAGGTTATGTGCAGCATCAGAATACCAGAAAGAGAAAGTATGTGAACATGAAAAGGACATTAATGTTATATGCATATATAAATGTTAATGTCGATTGTATATTATACTTTAGTAAACATTTACCTATATTGTAGTTGTGTTTTCACGTATTTATGCGAATTCTTAGAGTTTATTTGGTGTCATAATGTGTGTTAATGGGTCTGAGTTTTTTAGTGTTCTAATGGCTGATGCGTTTTAGAAATAAGTGATGGGTTCTGGTCGGGATAGTCATTGGGATAAAACAGTTTATATAGCAAGCGTTTGGAAGTTACAATAGAGTGACAGGTCCTATATCCAGGGGTAAACTGTTCCTGTGTGTTCCGTACTAAGTGCATCCATGCTGCTAGTTTATTTATAGTTTTTAGATTGCTAAGGGTGTTGAAGTGCGTTTTTTAAGTGTTGCAGTAGACTAACAGTTGATTCGTTCTAGGAACAAATAGTTTATTTATATAATCAGTAGAGTGAAACAGTCTGTACAGAGAGCGTTTGAAGCTTGTGACCGAGGAGCAAGTTCTGACATCTAGGGGGAGGCTATTACATAAATACGACAAAGAACGCATTGTGACATTATAATTGTGAATTACCACAGATTATCACTTTTTCAAAATTTCAAATTGTTGAATTACAGTACAAGCAATGGGAACAGATTCTTATAAGTGTTAATTTGTAAATCTTTCACGCAGGTCACCATCAAAGTTGAGCGAGAGCCCAAACTTTGTTCCACTTCCTGATGACAGTTATGGCCAATCGATAAACAACATATATTTGAGTGAGTGCTATTCCGCCACGTGCTTGAACGCTATTTCGAGAAGAGAAGAAAATCTTGCGCAGCCGCAAAATAGTATAAAATGCAGCTATGAATAACACAGTATTGAAAGGTTATTTACAAGAAAAATACAGGAAAGGCTATACAATACTTGAAATGATAGTAAACATTTGCAATGTATGATGCTAGCCATATTGGTCTTACCATGGAAAACTTTGACGTTTTCTATGGAAATGCCGTTATTCTCAAACATGAGTGTTGTTGTTATGTTTTTTCATCATCAGTGCAGCCGAACTTTATGCGAGAGAAGAGTATGAATGAGAAAAAAGTAAATTCAAGCTCTATCAAAGGCCTAGGAAGTTGAAATAAAATAGAGTATAATAGTAATTAGATAGAAGCATTGTCGTGAAGTATATAAGTGACATTTCGGAGAGAAGTGGCTTGAAGGATTAGAACCTGTTGGATATGCTGACCTGTAAGATGTCTGGCGAACTTGTGTATGGCCCATGGGGTAGCATCTTGACAAGAGACTGAGCAGGCTTGTAGATGCTAGGAGCAAAGCCATTTTTATAATCTACATTTGTGCAGTCATTATTGTTTTGGTTGTTTTGTTTGCTTTTTAAAAGTTTTTGAAGTTAATTTTTTTATATTGAGATCTAAACTCATGTTTAATTCTCGAGCTGTCAAAAAATGCATATTGCTGTCCTACAGATAGGAGCGATTCACATTTGTGACCACCATCAAATCTGCTGGTCAGCATGCTGATCATCATTATTGTAATTCATAACATAACTGATCGTGCCTGTAAAATGGCATGCATTTCATGCAAACTTACCCGTTTATACGAAATACAAATTATTATTACTGGGCATTACTTGGGTTGCAGGACTTTCTTTAAAGTAAATGTAATTAGTGTGTCTTTTTCTTGCATGAACTGTAAGTAATCTTGGTGAGACAATAGAGCCCCGACAGTATGTGTTCCAGAGATTTCTTGAAGTTCGCGTATAGTCATCTAATATTGAAGAGCACACGGGATGTGTTTATGCAAATAGGGAACAGCTGCGGACTGCAAACACTTTTTGTATGGAAACTTTACTTAGCATTAACAGAACCAATGAATTCCCTTCCGCATACTAGTATGTAAAATTATCTTGTTGTGTTAGTCCTCACAAATGCTTTTGGGGTATGTGAAAGTCATCAAATATGAAATGAGAAAGTGTTTGTCGGTCGAAATAACGCTAATACCCAACGTCGGAGTGATTTTCTGTAAATCAGTGAGAATTTTATCACACTCTTAATTTATATTTCCTCTGAACTTCTTCAGTGCGCCGTTTTGCTATGGGCTATTGTGAAGTTGGATTAATGCAGGGTAAGCTTAGTTAGTGACATAAAGATTTACTTTAAGAACTGAGATTGCTATCTTAGTCATACATAAGACTCCGCGTTTGTTTCGATGAAATAACACATTTTAGAAACTAAGTAGGACCTGGCTATTTGATGAGTAATGCTTTACCGTTCAGCACTTTTGAGACACCTTATTTAACCAATTACGCACCTGCATGCTGCTAAACATCAAAAGTCCGCTATTGCATGTCATACAATTAGATTTAATAGCTTAGGATTGATAGTTAATTCATTAATCTGCTAATATGCAGTGAAGTCACTAGATAAACTGTTTGCTGTTGAGTCGCGTGGTATTAATTATTATACATCACGTCTATGAATAATAATTGCAGTATCTGAACATCTGCCTTATGGATATTAAATTACCTATGGTTTTGTGTATCGATTAAGAAGTAAGAAACTTTAATGAAACCACTTTATCCTGTGTCCTTACGTTAATTATGAAGACACCGTTTTTAGTCTCATCGCACGGCGTATCCATCTTAAATACAGACCACACGTGAGTGTAATGAATATGAGCTAGGCACGCAAATCAAAGTAAAGACTTGTGCTGTATATTCAGTACTTATGAGACTGCGTAGCGAAGTACGCAAGAACTACGATTTGACCAATTATAAAGTGTTTAACATATTTAGACGTAATCAGTGTGCGCTACTTGGTTCTGTGACGCATCATCCAGAGTTACATAACTACCTTGTAATAGTTCCCACTTCCTGATGATAGTTATGGCCAATCGATAAACAACATATTTTTGAGTGAGTGCAGTGCCCCACATGCTCGGACGCTATTTCCCACTAGAACCCCAGGTTAACTGCCTGAATAGGGCCAGTCACTAGTGAGCATCAGATTAATTTTCAAGTATTGGTTTTGTAGGGATTTTGTTTGATTGCATGGAGGATTTAATCATGAGCTGATATCAGTTAGAGAACCACTGGAAAACCTGGGAGTACTGGACAGCCGTTTCGTCCTAGTTTGGGACTCTTCAGCAGTACGCACCCACCGGGATTCGAACCCAGGACCTTCTGGTAACAAGGCGAGCTCGTAGACCATTGAGCCACTGGGACCCGATTCAATGGTCCTTGAATTCTAACTTCTGCCAATTCACGACATAGCGCGACCACTTCGCAATGTCTTCTTCGATGAGTTACTGCCTCATCTTCGACCTGCTGTACCCTACTGGTCACGGCTTCTCACTAGAACCCCAGGTTAACTGCCTGAATAGGGCCAGTCACTAGTGAGCATCAGATGAATTTTCAAGCATTGGTTTTTGTAGGGATTTTGTTTGATTGCATGGAGGATTTAATATGATGCTCACTAGTGACTGGCCCTATTCAGGCAGTTAACCTGGGGTTCTAGTGAGAAGCCGTGACCAGTAGGGTACAGCAGGTCGAAGATGAGGCAGTAACTCATCGAAGAAGACATTGCGAAGTGGTCGCGCTATGTCGTGAATTGGCAGAAGTTAGAATTCAAGGACCATTGAATCGGGTCCCAGTGGCTCAATGGTCTACGAGCTCGCCTTGTTACCAGAAGGTCCTGGGTTCGAATCCCGGTGGGTGCGTACTGCTGAAGAGTCCCAAACTAGGACGAAACGGCTGTCCAGTACTCCCAGGTTTTCCAGTGGTTCTCTAACTGATGTCAGCTCATGATTAAATCCTCCATGCAATCAAACAAAATCCCTACAAAAACCAATACTGGAAAATATATTTATTCTCAAACATGGATGTTGCTGTTATGTTTTTTCCATCATCAGTGCAACCGAACTTTATGAGAGAGAAGTGTGTGAATGAGAGAAAAAGAAGTAAATTTCAGCTTTATCAAAGGCCTAGGGGGTTGAGATCAAGTAGAGTATAACAGTAATTAGATGGAAGGATTGTCGTGGAGTGTATAAGTGACATTTCAGAGAGAAGTGGCTTGAAGGATTAGAACCTGTTGGATATGCTGACCTGTAAGATGCCTGGCGAACTTGTGTATGGCCCACAGGGTAGCATCTTGACAAGAAACTGTGTAGTGAGATTGCACGCCAGACCATCGCTCAAGTGGCACCTGAATAGGAAGCGGCGAGTTGTTCGTCAGTGCGAGGTTGACATGGAGGACGTCGTGCGAAGGAGAGATGAAAGCACGTGGGCAAATGTGGAGCCAGGCGAATAAGCCTTGTCTTACTCTTGTATTTAGTTCGAACGCGTCACATAGTTTTCAGTTGTGGATCACCTGACATGTGGCATTGTCATGTAGCTGTTGAATGAGTAGTTTGAAAATTACTTCTTGGTCAATGCTATCCGGTGAAGATTTTTTCGTAGTTGACGAAGTCGAGGTAGGGAGAGTTTCGACTGCCACTATATGCTATGTTCTGTGGTGACGATGCGTAAATTTGCAATTTGATCAACCTTTAATTTGACTTTCCTGAATTCAGCTGGTTACAGGCTGGTGGAATTCTGTATCCAATGCACGCTTATGTACTGCATTATGTGTCGAATTCGTATTGGCCTTGAATAAGCGTTTTAATCAGTGGTTAAGCATTAGCTTGTCCTTTGCCACACCGTTCAATTCAAATTATTTGGCGCGGAAGGATGGGCTGTTGTGGACAGTCAGATGATATCGGTACATTGTCTGGTTTTTCCTGCAATTGAAAATGATTGATAGGAAATATCGGGTTTATTATTTTTTCCAGCTGGTCACTTATAATGTTATTTAATTTGTAACATCACAATGTGTTCCACGGAAAAATCATGTGTGTATACACAACTATAGTTTTGTGCCACTGAAGTATCTTGGGGCAGAAGGTTTTTAATCATCGATTTCTAAAAGCCGTTGTGTGGTTTCCAATCATACGAGCTAGATCAGAAGTGATGATAAACTTTGAATTGTGGAATTTTATCTGAATAAGTGTTCATGCTAGTAAGGGACTGATGCGTTTTAGACAATATATGTATTGTCGCTTAGCTATTCAGATGACTCGTCTTCTTTCTGGTTTGCTGTTCATTCTTTCAAGCAAATCGGGGGAAACTCGGGGTTGTTTTGGGGATATTTGTGGGGCGTTTGGGGGTAATTATGGAATTTTAAATAATCTTGCGGAGTTTTGTGGTATTTAGCGAAAAGTCTGGTTATGTGTGGTGATTTCATGGTTTAGGGTAATTTTGATGCGCTTTTCAGAATGTTCACTGAGTTCTTACATTGACACCTTTTTCATCACTCAGACAGTTGTCGTATCGGTTAAACAGTAGGACGTGGTACAAAATACCTAATTATTATTTGCATGTTTATTGTGAGTTATCTCATTCTCCCTGTAGAGTTAGGTGTATCACTCTTGAAAACCTATAATAAGTCTGACATTGTGACTGGTACTCATGATCCCCATAATGAACTCTTTCCTTCCTAGGGTTCATTATATCAGAGTAAATTAGGGTTTCACAGATCTCTAGGGTGATTAATAGCACATCGTCAAATAATAAACCCTTCGAGTGCTAAATTAAGCCATGTAAGCCAGTGTGAACTTCCTGGTTTCATTGATTAATATAACCTAAACTGATGGTTAGCTGGTCGCAGCAAACTAGATAATCCTTTGCGATCTTAAAATTCATATCATCTAAGTAAGCCACTGTTGTTATAAAATCCAGTTTTCCTGTAAGACTTTTGCCATTTGCAGTTACATTGTATAACAAGATGCAGTTTATGGATTATTGCTAGTTTCTATATGTAAATTCCTGTTGATTTTTAGATGTTGCCAAAAGACCACGCCTCACGGGTCCTGTACGCAACAGGTACGTTGCTCATCTTATATTTTATTAGCTCATCGCTAGGTCTTTTCTTTACACAAAGTCTCATAAATACTGGGTTGGGTTTTCAGTGTAGATTATTTTTTTATCACTTTTGATGACAAAGACGGAATAGCTTCAGTGGATTACCGTATAAATCAGGAACGGGTTTTATTAGCTTAACTGATTTCTTACCAAAGGCTATTTGTAAGTTTAGATTGGTGAAGATTCTAGACACGTACTTTGTGTTTTGAGTAGTTCTAGCACTCGTCTGAAACCCTTTTTGTAGCTAGTTGACCGACCGATATCAACGTAGAACTTTTCACAGATGTGTAGCAGTCCAAGTTGGCACACTCCATGTCACCCACAAAGCAAGAGAAGTGAGTAGAGAGAGATTCAAAGTAGGGATAATATATTGTAGCTAGTTACATAGTTTACGTAGTATATTAATTAAATCCCGGTCACCTGGTGATACTGAACAGTAAAGAATTGAGGATTTCACAAAATCATTTGTTTATCGTAAGCGCGATTAATTCTGTGCCAATAGATTTCAGTGGCTTGTGTGCCACCAGCCCCTATGGTAATGATAACTAAACACCGTTCGAGGAAGCAAGTGTAGAATAAATGTTAGTACGATATTTTTACCTCTTTATGCATACTAATTTTTTGTTCATTTGCTAATCTCAACTAACTTTTTTACTTCACAAATGTAATTACCGGTCTAAGATCATGTCAATGTTTTAATCAGCGCCCCATATATATATATATATATATATATATGCATCTGAATCGGAAGAGTTATAGATATTTGAGGAATGCCTACGTGATAACGGGTAACTAGAGATTTCTACAAGAAATATAGAGCAAACTAGAGGCAGAAGCATACAGAAAACTAACTGGCATCAAGTGTATTGATTCGGCTTAAGTTTTAAGGTTGTAACAACAGAAGACAAGAGCCAGGCAACAGATCGTTTATTAATGAAATCAACACATATTTATAGATTTTCATGTACATATTATAGATTATTGTTAGCAGAAAAACAGTCTTCTGATTGATTGTTTCTCACAGAAAGTTAATCTTGCATCTCTTTGTGGCTTTCTTTTGAATGTCCGATCATCTATATGTTAACTGTATCCGCCCACGCAAAGCCTTTCTTCTCATTTTTCTCACGACCAATATTGGGGACATAAACATTGACGTCAAATACTGTCCACAAATTTTGACTAACAGCCAGCTCTCACCACAAGGTGATGAGGTTGCAGGAACAATAAATAGTTGATTGAAGACGGCGTTGGCCGAAATTATTCCTGAAGGTAATTTAAAACAGTTCATTATTTCATTAAAGCATTGACGCGTACTGCTCCTGTTGCCGTTTTGTTGTATGAATTAGTTCAAATACAACTGCCCACAAAATACTTTGTTAGAACAGATCAATTTTCCGAATACATTTTGAAGAATTTACGATTATGGGGGAAATAGCCTTATAAACAAATGAGTCGATCGTTATCTAATTGGAACGACGCCAACTAGATATATTTAATTCTGACTAGCTCAATTTCGTTTAGCTTTACTGAAGCTGTAGTTGTCAGATTTCCCTAACCTGACATATTTTCTCAAGATAACCGCAGTTTCTTCATGTCTTGAGAATCTGTATTAGTGGATTGTACATCACCTTATCAAATATAAATGTTAATTTGTCAGCTCTTATTTAATTGCATTATTACTTCTTATATGTTGCTATAGACTAATCTTAACAAGGTTTTTAATTTTTTAACATTCTGTTTGTTAATTGTCCTATGTTCTAAATCACTCTTATTCTAGCTGCAATTGTTTTCTTCTTTCTCGCTAACCTTTAGTAGTTGTACTTTTTAATCCTTGAATTCCTAACCTTTTTAGTGGTTTCTCCGGCTCCAAATAATTTGAGCTGTCTAACTTTCGTTGTAGTGATTTCAACGTCCTATGTTGAAAGTAGTTGGTAAGATACAGAAAAACTAAGTTGTTCTGTTGTGTAGGTTGGATGCTACCAGGAAATAATCTCGTTGACTTAGAATATGCAGGCGATATAGTCCTTCTAGGCGAAGACGCTGACAAAATGCAGAGTCTTCTAAACACCTTGAGCCGCAATCTACGAATGTTTGGCATGCGATTCGCTCCCGCCAAATGCAAGATGATGTTACAAGACTGGACTGCAGCGACTCCTAGATTAGAAATAGGGAGTGAAGTGGTAGAGCACGTTGACCGCTTCACTTATTTGGGAAGTACCACCAGCCAACGCCAACGGGTTGATCTCTGACGAAATCTCAGCACGGATACAGAGGGCTAGTTCCGCATATGCCAGTTTACTCCGTCTCTGGCGTAGACGTGATATCCGACTATCGACCAAAGGGCGGGTGTACTGCTCATCAGTCCACTCCGTCCTCCTTTATGGCTGTGAGACCTGGCCACTGAGAGTGGAAGACATGAAAAGACTGGCTGTCTTTGATCATAGGTGCCTTCGCTCTATTTCCCGTGTGAAGTGGCATAATAAGGTGAGCAATATTGAGGTTAGGCGTCGAGTTCTAGGTAAACAGGGGAAATCAATCGACGAAGTTGTGAAGTTACAAAGACTGAGATGGTTAGGACATGTGTTACGTATCCCCAGTCATCGCCTTCCTCGAAAGTGGGCAATGTTAGCGGATACAGGGTCAGGCTGGAAAAGAGCTAGTGGAGGTCAAACAAAAACATGGCACCAATCAATGAAATCTATAACAGTTAGTCTAAGCCATGTAGGAAGGTTGGGTCCTCGGGACGGTAAAAACCAATGGTTGGAAACAATTGGTGACATGGCTCAAAATCGTTCTCAATGGCTGGCGCAGATGCATCCACTCCTAGTGACTTATGATTTCCAATTAAACTATGTTATTCTTCGTTACTACTATTCCTTTGTCTCACACCTCTGTTTACTGTCTCTATTATGCCTTTCTTGTACTTTCTTCTCTTGCTTTGTGTAGTACATGGAGTGTGGCGACTTGAAGTGCTGCACATGTGTGCAAAGTTCTATGTCGAAAACAGACAGACAGTAGGTTGGATGATGCCAGGATTAAAAGTGATTACCACCATGGTATATGGTGCAAGTCAGATATTCTGTTCTCCCGCTCGGATTAATTAAAAAGCTATCCCAAGGATTGTATAACTCTACTCATTTCATATTAGTCCGAAGTTAGTTGCAGGGTTCTACGTAAAGACGGGCAGAAACTCTAGTGTCTTTAAGTGGGTTTCTTCTGATCGACCTCAAGTAGAGCTCATTGATTATGCCGAAATGTCCTGCTTCTGTCTTGCATAGGTGCGAAGAAAGTTTCTTTTACGCTATAAATATAGGATTTGTGTCGCTGCTTAATACTTCATGACACAAATTTTGGGTGAAGTCTCAGTTGATCCTGTTTTTTGCTTTTATTCTTTGTTTTGCAGGTCATGTACGGATATTCCTTGCTGTGTAGTATTCGCTATTTTCATTATTGGCTTCTTTGTTGTCACTTTGTGGAGTAAGTTAGGTCCTATCCTTTTGTAAACTAAGAGAGCATTTTTATTTTTGAAACGTCTATTGGTTGTCTGTCAAATACAACTCGTCCTCTTATTAATTTTGTTCCACATCATTATTTCAAAGCCTATCGACTTCAGCTGTTGTAAAACTACATTCGCATATGTGTGAACTAGAACATTCTAATACTGGGTCTTATCATTCAATCTTATCCATATTAACAAAGGAAATACTCAATAAATGATCGGTAATGTTTCGCATTAGTAACAGTTATGAATCGATTTATGATAGTTGTTTTACTACAAGTCTTTTCTTAATACACCAAATTAGATATCACTATCCATTATAGGGATAATTATTTTCAAAATTATCAAAGATTAGGCAATTTGAGGTTTGTTTATTAAAGACCACGGCTAGACGAGGCTTAAGGGGATATATTATACGGAATTCGAACTTAAGCCTCCTTCTTAGCTTACGAGTGTTCTACCATCAAACCACTGAAGCACCCCATTACACAGATTTAACTCTTTATTTTAAAATATCTGTTGTTATTTGCTCTCTAGGCTTATTTTGTTGATAAATTGCTTGTGGTTCTGAATAAATGCAAGCTTTTTATAAATACAAGTAATTTAGAGCTTACAGGGACAACCGCACCCTCCTCAGGTGATGAACGTGTAAGCATTTTAGACTTAATATAATACATTGCTATGTGAGTTTTTAAAAGGACTAAGCAAAAGAATACAACGACATTATTATGAACACAAACCAGATAAAAAGAAATAGAATGGGAACAGAATTCTGAGCAAATAAGCATTCCCTTGAGTCAATCAAGTGTTTAGTTACACTGTATCTAATGACTATGTGAGAAAGATGATAAATTATTGGATGAGAGAGGCTGGGTAAATGAGATATTGTACAGTGGTTATAGGTGTTACTAGAATCAGTTTTCTTGTACTTTTATTTACTCTAAAAGTGAACTCCTGGCCTACAGATGGGACAAAACTAAATAGTATAATTTTTCTTTCACTTGTGGAAAATCGCATTTTACTTCGCTATCTAATAGAAGTAGTTTTTGCTAACATTCATACTAATTCTGTTGTTACTTAGTACTGGAGTAACGTTTATCGCTGAAAGGAAATCTTGAAGTCCAGTGACTTCTGAAGTTTTGATAACTAATCACTGAGTGGTTGTCCCACATTCTACTTAGAATGGTTTAAACATTAAAAAAAAAGTAAGTATAAGCCATCAAAAACCTCATAGTATATGAGGCATCATGTAATATTCGCATATTTCGTAATTATAGAAAAATACCCCATTTTTAGACATTTAGAAAGCAAAAGGACTGAGCGAGGAAACAGTCACTTTTCACTTAGATCCTCATCTCTAACTCTATAATACACAACATTTTACCAATCGTTAATTACTTTGCCCTTCCCCTAAACCTTTTTAAATTTTTAATTGTCCAAATTATTTTATTGTTTTTTGTGACTACTTTATCTTTAACTACATGTTATCATTATCCAAATCGTTTTTTCTCTAAATACCTGTTACTTAATCAACTTGGACACTCGTTTAATTACTCTGTGCGTCGGTGGCACAGCGGTTAGGACTCTCACCGATCATGCACATGGTCCGGAGTTCGATCCTCTGCCGACGCACACCTGAGATCTATGGTCGGCCTGCAAAATTTGGGCTACCGATATCAAGCTGTAATAAAAAGAAAATACTCTTCATTTTTTCAAAACTATGCATTATGCAATCCACTTGGTCACCATTTCTACCTTTTAATTGTATGTAATAATTTTCCTCGTTAATTATAACCCCTTGGAAATTTTCATACTGACTTACATAAATTAGAGTAGAACTAGAGATGAGGATTTAGTTGAGAAGTAAATATTTCTTCACTTAGTCCTTTTTCTTTCTAAACTTCTTAATTACTCAGAAATATGTAGGAACTATGATCCAAACTTCAGCTTGTGAGTGTCGTGTTTAAATTCTTGTCTACAAATGTATGCCTAAGCAATCGGTTAGTAAACACAAGCCTGAACACACTAAATTCGGTGTTTGTCGTAATATCTAAAAAGTTATGCAAACAATTAGCAGTTACCTGATATAGGATGGATCAGGTTGGAAAAGAGCTAGTGATGGTCAAATCAAAAGATGGTTTCATCATTCAATGAAGTCCGTAATATTTAGTTTAAGCTAGCCACGTAGGAAGGAGTAAATTTCCTAGTTGGAGTCCCCGGGATGGTAAGGACCAATCGCTAAAGACGATTGGTGACATGGTTCAAAATCGTTCTCAATGGCGGGCGCAGATGCATTCACTCTTTATGATTTGCCACACATTCAATAAAACACAATTGTTCTTCCATATTGCCATTCTTTTTCCCTCACACTTTTGTGTACTACATGGAGGGAGTATGGCAACTCGAACTACTGCACATCTGTGCACATTTTTTTGTTGAAACCAGTCAGTCGGCACTGTATTTGTATTATGTATATTTATTGTTTTAATCCGAAAATATATCTCATAGTTTAATGATTTAAAGTACCATTATTATCAGTACATAACAGATTAGTCATGAAGTTATTCCTGACTTTTTCTTATTAGGTTTCGCTATGGGAGATTATAGACGTGTTGTATATCCTACTAATTCACAAGGACAAATATGCGGCCGCGATGTTCCGTACGTTAAGTATATATTATTTCTCTAAGTTTTCATTTGTTTAACAATATCAGATTATCATTTGAGGTGTGTTTGTATTTGGAATATGCATGGATAATAATTGTCTCTGTATAACTCAAATGAAATTTCCGACGAAATTGTGTGGAAACGACATGGTTGATGATGACAGTGCATGACCAATTTAATCTGCATTTACATTGAAGTTTCATTAGATTCACATATTAAGTATGTAATTCGGATAAATTATAGCGCACACATGTGAATACAAGTGGCTTTTTATTATTGTTATTGTCTTTGGTCTCATCAGCACATCCCTATTTCACCCCGTTCTCTGCAATCTTTCTTGACTGGTTCTACAATTTTCCATAAGCTTTCGTATCCTCATCGCATTACGCCTTCCATGTCACCCTCGGAAGCCCAACCTGTCGTTTCTCGACAGCCTGGTATGTAATGTTACTCAACAGTCTTCTCAGCGAGTATCACATCCATCATCTCCATTTCCCTGTGCATATTTATGGGCCATCCGTAGGTTCTTAGTTGGTTTGTTCCCGGAGTTCCTTGTTGCTTATCCTTTCTGGCCATCTAATCTTCAGTATCGAAAAAGCGAAGGCAGCTGTTGATGAAAGTCGACAGCTTGTTGGAAATCTGTTTGTCTGTCTATCTGTCTGTTTTCGATATAGAACCTTGCACCGATGTGCAGCACTGACTTGATGATGGAGGTCGTCAGGTTACGGAGTGTCTCTCTTTGTGCCTAAAGTGACTAGGCATAGATGATTATCTGAGGAGAACTGTGAAAAACGATCACCATTGTCCGTTCGCCGGTAGGGAACTCCATACTAACCTACATCTCCGCCTACATACCTACATACTTCTCACTCTAGCACAACTTCCATAATTGGGCATTGAAGTCGCCTGCTCAGACAAATATATCTGAACGTTTCTTTAAAAACTTAATGCAATTCTACTCCTTCATAAACTTGAAAAAATGAAGGACAACAATTGTACCAGGATAATATGAGCTCATCTTTTATTATTTTGAGGATTCTTCTCAACTGGTTACAACTTGAACGATAAAAATATGAATTACATTAAAGATTTGAACATACTTTTCCACGATCACAAGGAGTAATTGGTAGGAAGTAAACGTAACATTAGTCCGGAATGATTTAATTAATTAAGAGTCACAAACACCGACTATTTATAGAATAATTACACAATAAGGCTCGGAAACAAAAAACAGAGTTACGTATATATGTGTGTATAGAAACAAGGTTTAGCTAGAAAGAGCATAACAAAAACGTAAATTATGTAACTAAAGAAAATGTTTGATCTAATAGCCAATAGAAAAAAGAAAAGAACAAGATAGGATGAGTCATGTGTAGATGAGAGAGTAGTTTTCTAAACAAGAAAAAGGGTGACTCATAAAAGTTGTATATTTTGTTATCACCAGGGCAGTGCAAGATTCACCACTGTCTCTTTCTGCGTACATAGATTTGGTTTAAGTCGTTTGATAGCAATTGCTTCAGCAAAGCGTAGCAAGCTAGGTTTCTTTTGCTTATTTTGAACGACTTCAGGTTGCTGTATCCAATAGATGACGCGCAATCACACTGTTTAATGCTTACGGACCTTTCAGTCTCAGGTTCTTTGGTATGTGTTCAGAAATGCGGACACTAACCCTTCTCTCTGTTCTTCCAATGTATGTGCTTTGGCACGTACATGTAAATTGGTTGACACAGTTGGAGGTAACATGAGGTGGGTATTAGTCCACTTTTGATTGTCTCAAACAACTAGTTGTTTGATAAACACATACAAGCTTGGCGGCTGGATGTTCTTTTCAGGGCAGCTTTCAGTCTGCATCTTATTCTACTAGCAGTATCATCACCTTTGAATGCAAGCTGCAGAAAGATAGGCTTTTTCTCTACTGTGCTGCTTTTCACTTTTTCAACATGACGCCTTCCATACTTGTCGATGAACGTTTGTGGATAACCATTGTCGCGTAGGCATTTCTCCACAATGGATAGCTCTTCCTCAATCTTTTCTTTTGAACACAGCTTCCTTACACGATCAAATAATGTTCTCACCAGTCCTTTTTTTGTAACTTATAGGGTAGGAGGTTTCGAAGTAAAGATAAACCACCCTCCAGGTCTCTTTTCTGTGTATATATCTTATGATTTTGCCGTCTATATCTCGTTGGATACCCAGGTCAAGAAAATGGAACTTCTCCTCTTTTCTATACTCCATTGTAAATTTAATATTGCAATGAGCGCTGTTCAAGACTTTTAATACTTGAGATGCATCATTAAGAGATTTGCAAATAACGAAAGTGTCATCGACATACCTGGTATAGAAGTTGGTCTGACTGATTGTGGATTTCAACCTTGCTTGTTCTAGACTACCCATAAAAATATCTGCCAGAATGGGACCCAGGGGGCTTCCCATGGCGACTCCGTCAATTTGGCGGTACAGTGTTGTTGGACTGAAACTGTACGTCCTTGGTGCACATAAGTAAAAGTTGTTTGAGTCCGTTCTTGGGCAGAGGAAGAAGTTCGGCATGTTGACATATAATTTGTATTGTTCCTTCCAATGGGATCTTTGTAAACAGTGAAGACACGTCGAAGGACACCATAAATTTACTCGAGATGCTTAGATTCTCTAATTATTTAGCGAATTGGAAGCTGTCTTTCAGGCTGTGGACTGCTAATTTACCACGGATTGGTTCTAACATTTCTGCTAGCCACCTAGCTACTTTGTGATATGGCGAATTAATCATAGATAATATTGGTCTCATGGGGATGTCAGGCTTATGCATCTTTGGTAAGCCTGAATAATAGTAGTAACTGTAGTAGGGGAATAAGATGAAGGTGATGTGGGTAAAGGAGAATGATGCTCAGGAAGGCTTTGTGTGCTCTTACTTTTTACTTTACTTTACTTCGGCTATCTCCTACGGGAGGATGAGCCGGTTTCATGAACAGAGTTCATGAAGTTTCATGGGAATTAGGTATGAGTGATGTCCCCAGCATTGCTCGGCCTTTTGTTTGAGAGTGCAGCTCTAGCCTTTACACAACTAAGTGTGACCTAAAAGGCAGTAGGAGTGGAGTAGGGAGTCCACTATCCATTGGCAGCCGGTGACCGGAGTCCGGTTCATTCGCCTTTTTGAATGGGGCCAGACATCCAAGGCATCCAATAAGCCCTTTGTCCATACGTCTGCCAGTGAGCTCCAGTGAGCTTCATACGCCAGTCGTTGGAGGTTTGGAATCAGGGTTTAGCCATCTCCCCTAGACTGTCATCCAATGGACAGTCAACCCGGTGAAGAGCGCCGGGCATCCGCTTTTGCCCTCTCACTTCTGTGAAAAACACCTCCGCCACGTGAAGGCAGTGAGTAGGACTTCCTCAGGAGAGACTATGTAAGACGCCCGGTCATATGGGAGCATTTCAAGAGGTGTACGGAGGGGTGGCCAACCCGCAGCGCAAGGCACCCACCCCCTACCATCCTGAGGCTTTGGAGGCTCTTGGAAGTGTGTGGGTGATTTTCACTTCCTGGCTGTCCGCATTGTGGACGTTGGTTTAATCTTGGGGTACCTGTGACAGAAAGAGGGTTGGTGCTGCGTGACCGAAGAGTTCAGGAGACAGCTGCTTCAGGCCGGCCAAACACGGCTTGTATGAACTGGTTTCTGGGATTGGTTCCGTATTAACAAAAAAAATTACCTCCGGTTACGGACCACCGTAGGGTAGGTCAGGATGTACAATTTTTGGAGTCGACCTTTTCTAACCCCCTCTCTCCAGAGTGAAGAGACAGCATGGTGTGGTGGTCATCTGTGGGAAACACCTCACTGGTGTTTCATCCCTATTCCCCAGCAGTACGGCTTCGCCCACAGACCCCCAGAATAGTGTAAGAAAGATTCTTCCACAATGTCGGTAACTGCCTTTAGTCTAATCGCTATCCTAACAACCTTCTTGGCATGGTAGGACCTGCAGGAACAATATTTTCAGCCAGTGTAGCTTGTTGGGTCATCGCGATGTGCAAGCCCGACCAGCACATCAAGGTAGCAGCTATCGCTCAGGTTTGAAATGCGCCGGGTGACACTTGCGCCAAGTCTCTGAACCATATAAAGGCACTGGCCTGACATTGGTGTTGAAGATTAAGATTGATCTTGTTCCTCACGCTGAGTGCAGCAAATTTTTACACTGATTTCAGAGTAACGAATACCTGTCTTATCTTTCCGACCCTGTCTTTTGCATCCTTATATTTGCCGCCATTAGTTGAAACAATGCTGCCCAGTTAAGTGGAAGAAGTAACTTCCCTTGGATCTCTCCTGTTGGTGTTGATTGATTTTTGTTGTTGTCGTTTTCATTATATTCTCCACTGCCTCTTATGTTAACATACAAGTGGTAGCAAATCATTAATTAGCTGTTACTTTTGAAAATATTTCAAAGTGAATTCTTTTGTAGCTATTATATATGCATATTCAACTAGTTTGTCTGTTGTCTTTCACTTGGTTGTTCGTCTCTTTTTTTCATAAAAAAATAGTCTGTTGAGAATATAAAGTCGGCTTTACTTAAACTGTAGCACACGACTGTTCGATTTTTATGTTATATATGCATAATTAAAGAGGCGCACTGGTGCCTGTTTACTATTTAGATTTAATGATTAATGATAATTTTGCTTTAAGCGCGCTTGTTTAAGGAATGCGCAGAAAATAGCTTATTTGTGTTTAGTAAACAAAATAATTGCTTACTTATTGTATCTCTAAGCACACCACTGGACTACTGTAGATTAATAGGATTGTTTTGCTTACCAATTCAGTTACCCAGTTTTCGTATCTTCATTTCATATCATCTTCATTCACGGCTTTTCTGGCGTATACCATTAAACTTTCAAACACAGTGGGTTTAAGGTTGAAATTGAGCCATGTCGGTAGCTTAATATCACTGTCGTGACTCATTGGATTTCAAATTGTGTACTGGTCAGCTGTCTTTAGCCTAGCTTAGTTCACCTACAG